TTTGTAACCTTCCCTTTTTGTTGTTGTTTAAACCTACTGGATATATCAGGCTCATCAATGATGTTAAAAATTTAAAAAATCGATTTCTTTCACAAATTCTCTTATTTCATAAGTACAGGTTTTTTTTTCAATGAGTTGATTCCATCTATAACATGAGGAATATATTACAATAAAATTGTATTTTGTTCCTGTTTGTGGTATTTTTCTCTTCTACACATATGCAGGCAATGTCCGACTAGATAATCCTTCCCTGATGTTATAGTATAACTATTTTATTATCTGGTTGTGACTGAAGTCATGTGACTGTTGATTCAGTCAGCCGAGTTGACTGTTTCCCTCAGCTAGTGTAAACATAAGCAAGTTTACCACGGTTAACTATGGCGTCGGGGTCTAAATATAAACCCGATTTCATTGGCTATCGACCTGATTAGAATGCAGTATATCCTGCGCCAAAGATAATTATTTGCTGACGATATTTACCCTCGCATCTCTATAGAGGTATGTTTGGGGCGATGTGGGGGGGGGGGGGGGTGGCTGAAGGAGTGTGTTTAGGGGGGGGTAACCCAACTGAAAATTGTGTGGACTAAGTTGTAATCACTCATAGTACCAACCGACAAATAACACAGTTTTAGTCGTAAATAAACGTAATCCTAATCTACAAATAAAACAGTTTTAGTCGTAAATAAACATAATTCTAATCTACAAATAAAACCGTTATAGCCGTAAATAAACGTAATCCTATTGACGTTTTTGTTAATATTGCTTTCGATGCACGCATGCGTCAAATAATTGCTGTTTTTACATTTACTAATTTATTACCACGGGTGCGCTTTCGTTTTAAAAAGTTCTATTTTTTAGATTAATTTTTGTTGTTATTGGAAGGCAAACTATGAAACCACCAGCACAGTGTGTTTCAGATATGGATGTAAATATTTGAATATCTGACGGACAGCGTTGGTCAGTCGAGGCTAAACGGTAGCTAGCAAGACATCTGTCATAACATTTTGACAGACCTCATGACAGACACAATCAATCTGATGCTAAGTAGTAGTGTTGGATGTATCTGTCTGTCATGTTGTTTGACAGACGAAGTTTCCCCAAATTTGTGCACACAATAGTATCACCACTTGCATGCCCGACAATAACACACACGTCATATTTGGACAGATTACGGCATTGTGTGTTGAATGTTAAAACAGTATGTTGACACGTGTCCCAGGTTGACCTAGATATTTGTCTCCACTTCCCACACCCGTATATCTCTCCCCTCCCCCTTAGATATCTCGCCCCCACCCCTTACCCACACCTCAACAGCTATCTGCGGCGTGGAGTTTGAAATAGCTGAAATAATTCTAGAACCATCCAGGTGCATGTGTTGACGTGTGTTAATGATGATGATGATGTGACAAGCGATGACAATGTAACCTGCTGTATGCCGGTGTATGCTGGTGAATGCTGGTGTATGCTGGCGTACACTAATGTATGCTACTTGTTAGTTCAAGCTTAGCGTCCCAATAGTTGACATACCATAGCATGAACTGCACCGGCGAGTTGCTGTAAAGCGTTTATGTTGGAATTTCTGTGGTCGTAATTGACGCGTTGTATTGAGTATTTTTTTATTTTATTTTTTAAAATTGTGTGTGTAGCATTGTGGTATTTTACTAAGGCATTAATTTGATCTTTATTCTTATTATGGTGTGATTATGGATAACATTTTTCGGGTATTGATTTGATCTGATGTGATGTATTTTGTGTTACTTAAAAGTGATTGTAATGAGCCATCCCAGGCGAGTGTTGTAATGAGCCATGAGCCACGCTAGGCGAGTGTTGTAATAAGCAATGAGCCATCCTATGCGAGTGATGTAAAGAGCCATGAACCATCCCAGGCGAGTGATGTAAAGTGCCATGAGCCACGCTAGGCGAGTGATGTAATGAGCCATGAGACACGCTAAGCGAGTGTTGTAATGAGCCAGGAGCCACCCTAGGCGAGTGTTGTACAGAGGCTATGAGAACCTGGAGCAGTATCGATTAGCTCAATGTTGTTCTTAGGCGCTCACCTCGCCGCCTGGGCGTTGCAGGAATATCTACGTGTCTAACAGGAGGCTTTATCAATATAGCCTTAACATAGAACTTTTCAGGAGTAGGCCCCCCTATCTATGTTTTGTTCTACATCCCACAGGAGGCTCTAGCAACATAGAACTTTTCAGGATTATCTATGTGTTGTTCTACATTCCACAGGAGGCTCTATCAACATAGAACTTTCAGGAATATCTGAGTGTTGTTCTATTTGACTGATTCTGAACATATACATATCTAAGTGCTATTCTGTTTGACAAATTCAACAGTTTTACCAGGAATATCTGAACCTTGTTCTATTTGAATTACCCTCAACAAAAAAAATTATAACAGGAATATCTGAGTGTTCTATTTGACAACCTCAAACATAGAGCTTTATCAGAAATACTTAGCTGTATGTAATTTCTATTCAACATGATGTGGGTGTAGTCCTCTATCATCAAGAATTTATAAGTGGTGTTCTTTTCAACATATATTCGTAGAACTGACGAGATTACATATATGCTGTTCTATCCAATATAGTGAGTGAGTGTTACTGTAGTAAACCTATTGGATACTGTATTAAGTCATATCGCATTCTCGCACTGTTACGAGAATCTCTAGACCCATGTACTGTTCTATCCAAAATAGTGAGCGAATGTTACTGTAGTTATCCTACTGGATACTGTATTAAGTCATATAGCATTCAACAACTGTTGCAAGAATCTCTAGACCCATTTACTGTTCTATCAAATATAGTGAGCGAATGTTACTGTAGTTTACCGACTGGATACTGTATTAAGTCATATAGCATTCAACAACTGTTGCAAGAATCTCTAGACCCATGTACTGTTCTATCCAATATAGTGAGCGAATGTTACTGTATTTTACCGACTGGATACTGTATTAAGTCATATAGCATTCAACAACTGTTGCAAGAATCTCTAGACCCGTGTGCTGTTTTATCCAACAATATCATGTGACAGACAGCTCTGTCGTACTGCTGGACGCTGCATTAAATCACTTCGGATTATCCGGCCGTCACTGACCCCTCACGGACCTGCCGGTGACCTGAGGTCATCTTGGGATCACCTGGGCAATGGTCAGGTTAGATAAGTGACCCACGGTCACGTGACGAGGGCTAAGTGTGTATGTGTGTAGGTCAGCCGTGTCAAGATGTGTTCGCTACAAACGGGGATTTATCGATCAGTCTACACACATGTGTTTCTAGAGAGTAAGTATTGATTTTAACAGCTCGTGATAGTTTCTTTTCGAGCTTTGTGAATGGTGGTTTAGCTGTACCGTGGTATATGTTAGCATTAGGGTGACAATAAGATGGGAAGTTATGGGCTGTTTATGACAAGGGGTTAGTTTATTCATGCTATCAGCTTTAGTGTTAGGGTGAGAAAAGTTATGGACTGTTTGTGGAAAATGATTTATTTATTGATGTTAGCTTTAGTGTTAGGGTGGGAATAAGATAATACGTTTTTAGTTTGTTTTTGGACAAAGAGTTATGTATTGGTATTGCTACTACATTTTTGTTAGCTTTAGTTGAGAATAAGATAGAAAGTTATGGGTGTTTTTGGACGAAGATTTGTTTAGTGGTATTGCTACTACATGCTATGTATGTTAGCTTTAGGTGAGAATAAGAAAGGAAATTATAGGTTGTTTTTGGCAAGGATTTGTTAATGGCTACTAGGTTAGCTTAGCAGGAATAACATAAGGAGTTGGATTAGTTTAGCACTGATTGTGGTATAGACTTAGCTTTCATTTCAGATTAAGATGTGGCTCTATATAAATACCAGGGCATGGTACGTCTAAGCCAATTGTGGTTTTGCGCATATGAAATCATTCCCTAAAATGTGGTATCAACTGACTATCTCAGATGGAGCATAAATTAAATGTGTGCTGGGCTAATGAGCAATTAACAATTAACTTTACTAATTTGATCACGTCAGTGTGTTTGTAAATCACGTGTATAGGACGTGACAGCTTATCGCTTCCTTATCTCCACCACATCCCACATATATACCCCGCCCCAACACACACAACACACAGACACATTGAATATGTCTCGTCCAGTATAGTGTTGTCCTGTCTCATCCGCCCCCCACACACACCCCACACACAAACCCCACAGACAAGCTTAATATCTGGTACAGTGTAGTGTTGTCCTGTCTCTCACCCCCCACACACACCCCACACACACAAACCCCACAGACAAGCTTAATATCTGGTACAGTGTAGTGTTGTCCTTTCTCTCCCCCCCCCCCCCACACACACACCCTACAGACAAGGTAAATATCTCGTCCAGTATAGTGCTGTCCTGTCTCATCCACACACCCACACCGCCCCACACACACAGAGAAGCTTAATATCTCTTCCAGTATAGTGCTGTCCTGTCTCATCCACACACCCACACCGCCCCACACACACAGAGAAGCTTAATATCTCTTCCAGTATAGTGCTGTCCTGTCTCATCCACACACCCACACCGCCCCACACACACAGAGAAGCTTAATATCTCTTCCAGTATAGTGATGTCCTGTCTCATCCACACACCCACACCGCCCCACACACACATAGAAGCTTAATATCTCTTCCAGTATAGTGCTGTCCTGTCCCATGTTTTTAAATCCATACACTGACCCCAATTATATAATCCAGTCTACCGTGTTACGACCCGGGATTATGAAACCCGTACTCTTACCCCTGCTTGTAAAACCCTATCCCCAGTATTATAAAACCTATACATCGACCCAGGCTTATGAGACCCTATCCCCAGGACATGAAACCCGTACCTTGCCCCATCTAGAAGACCCATAAAGTCGGCATGTCATTACATTTCAATGACGTTCGGGTTCTACAATCTTCTGTCACCTGCCCTCGACGAGAGAGATTTTAACTTGCTGTTTTTAACAGATTTTGTCCCCTATTTGTTTCAGATAACTCACAAGATGGGTCGGCTCATGAGGATGGGAGGTCGATTAGGAAACGCACGGTAAATCGGATCATTCATTCTGCCCTAACTTTCATTCATTCTGCCCTAACTTTCATTCATTCTGCCCTTACTTTCATTCATTCTGCCCCAAATTTCATACTTTCTTCTCTAACTTTCATACATTCTGCCCTAACTTTCATACATTCTGCTCTAACTCTCAGAATTCTGCCCTAACTTTCAGAATTTCGCCCTAACTTGCATACATTCTGCCCTTACTTTCATACATTTAACTTAACTTTAATTCATTCTGCTTACATACATAATGCCCTAACTTTCATTCATTTTGCTTTAATTGTAATTCATGTTGCCTTATTTTCCATCACTCTCCCCACTTTTCCCCAGTTCTACCCCTACTGCTTATTACCCGCGCCTATTTTCATTCGCTTTGTTTCTCTCTGCCCACATGTTTTGGCTCTATATATAGCCACACACATTAAGGCTAAACCTCTAGCCTTCCTACCTACCACTGTTTACAGATGTGTTAATTCTGACAAAATACTAACCAGAACATACAACTTAACCAAGCTGACAATATTATTTCAACTATTTATTTCAACCTGAGACAGCAGGACCCTTCACAATGTTATACACAGCTTGACAAATACTTACTTTATTAATCAATTAAAAATATATTTTCAAATTTGTAAACATTCAATTGCATAAATTGCTGTTTTATCTATCTTTTAGAACCCTAAACTTGACCTACTTTTGCTTGTTATAATACTAAACGTGACCCACTTTCGCCAATAATAAAACTAAATATTGACCTACTTTTGTCATTCGAAACCTAAATTTGACCTACTTTTACACCCGCTTAGTGCACACTATTATTTTGTATTTTATTTTAAAAAATTAATAATTCATTAATGTTTAAAGTATTAATTGCATGTGCACACTAACTATTGGTTTGGGTTAATTATGAATCAGGTTAAATGTGGCTTCTATTTTGTTTTGAAATTTGGACATGCGTCCATGTGCTTTCCTGTTAAAACTTTCTTTACCGCTTTCTGCTTCACTGGTATGATAGTAACCAATGCAGTATCTAACATGTTTATTGTGTATTAAAAAATATGTTTAGACAACGGTACTCATGCGTCGCTAAGAAAGTATCGCTCAATGAAAACAGAACTTAAAGTCGATCTTTTTAACTACCATTGTTGAATATACTGTCAAATGAAAGTTATATCGCTCGAGGGGTCTAAGCTAGACTCAAGAGATTGCTGAAGCCAGTGTAAGGCTAGGTAATACTTTCAAGAAATGCAAAGACTAGAACTTTTAGTATGCATTTAAAATGTGCCTTCGGTCCAGAGGCGTAGTGAATGGGGGGCGTACATATGTCCCCTGGCGCCGACCCTAGGGGCGCCGAAATGGGTTGGAAAAAAAATTAAAATCTAATTTTAGCTGCAGTTTTGAATTATAAACATAAAAAAAAATATATGGGGGGGGGGGGGGGGGCGCCAAATTGAAAGTTTGTTCCCCGGGCGCCGGGAGGGGTCGCCTCGCCTCTGCTTCAGTCAGCAACATGGAAGCTGACCGAAAGATCGAATTAACTGCAGCGTTTTTAAAAAGTTGTGTAGATATTCCAATATCCTGCAACAGTAGCGAAAATAAAAATGGAATAATGACACATCAAAAATTCCTCAATGGGAGACGACAAAAGTAAGACAAAACTAGGCTCACATGATGTGGAAGTAGACCATCGTTAGTTTGGGGTCCAGATCTAGAAGAAAACAGCGGCACGTATATGTGGAAGAAGGGGGCGAAGCTGGCCAAGCCTTTTATCAGCTCTACAGCCATGAGGATGGATGATGTTTAAAATGTATTCAGCTAACACAATACAAACAAGCTAATTGGAGATGTATTGACATTTAGAATGTTGGTCCGATTGTCGCCAGGGGCGAAGTAGTTTTGTTCCAGGGTTAAATGTGGATCTAAAAATAGAAGTAATTTCTATTGACATCAATAAATAAACGAATTAAGTTTACGAGGATGTTAGTCTAAAGGATATTTAGGTTCTAAGCTTATCAGGGGGTTATGGTTAGTGCGTATGTTGTCTTTGTCAGTACACTGGATAATTAATTATTCTATGGACTAATTGATTTAATACGTTAATGAGCAAAAGCAAATTCTCCCCTCCCCCCCCCCCCCACCACTGCAAAAAAATATGTTTTAAATATATTAGCTTGAGCTTCATTTGAATGAAAACTTTTCAATTATATTTACTAGCTTTTGGATTTTTATTTTCAGTCGCTTTACACTTTAACCATGGTAGATTAAACTATTTTCCCCTAACCATTAAACCAAACCATATTCCCCCAACCATTACCCCCTTAACCATCGGAATTAATGTTTTCCCATACATATGAACTGATTAACCCCCCACTAATCCAATGTGTGAAATCTTTGATTTGATTTTGTTTTTCTCTGACTCTAGGAGGGCTCGTTAGTGTCCCAGCATGCCTCGTTTTGGGAGAACCACGCCCCCAATCCCCAGCATGCCCCGAGCTCTCGTGTCCGCACCAACATCCCCACCCGCTATCTGGGGGACTTGTCAGCAAAGGTAACCACGCCATTCAGCAGACGATAGACCTACGTCATTTAGCAGACGTTAGACCTACATGTAACCAGGTCATTTAGCAGACGATAGACCTACCTGTAACCACGTCATTTAGCAGACGATAGACCTACGTAATTTAGCAGACGATAGACCTACGTCATTCAGCAGACGTTAGATCTACGTCATTTAGGAAAAGTTAGACCTACGTAGCCTACGTCATTTATCAGACGTTAGACGTACGACCTACATGTAACCACGTGATTTAGCAGACGATAGACCTACCTGTCCGAAACGTTGGTCCCAATTACACATGTGTGTTGTGCTGCATGGCCGATTTGATTTTAATTGCACTCATTACGTAATTAGTAGCCACGATCTAGATGAATGTAATTGTTAGATGTGTTGCCATGTTGTTATTAGATTGTATTTAGCACCATGTATCAACATTGTGTAGTATTTGTCACTACTATTAATATAATATCAGACATATTCTCTAAATGTAATCTCACCATTCTGTCCATTACTCCATTTCACAATTTTTATTAGCTGAAGTCACCACTGTTTATAAGCTGAAGTCACCACTGTTTATTAGCTGAAGTCACCACTGTTTATTAGCTGAAGTCACCACTGTTTATTACCTTAGGTCACCACTATCCACCAGCTGAGGTCACCACTGTCCATTATCTGAAGTTATCACTATCTTATAACTGATGTCATTTCTGATGTGGTCACCACTCTCATCTTTAACTGAGGTCACCTATATCAATTAGATGAGGTCACCACTGTCCATTAGATTACCTTTCTGTAGCGCAGATCACCCCAGTCAATTATGTCATTATTGTCTCCTGTTTAAGGTCACCACTGTCCTTCACCTGAGGTCACCGCTGTCCTTTACCTTAGGTCACCCCTGTCCTTTACCTAAGCTCACCACTGTCCTTCACCTGAGGTCACGGCGATCCTTTACCTGAGTTCACCACTGTCTTTTACCTGAGGTCACCATTGTCTTTTACCTGAGGTCACCACTGTCCTTTACCTGAGGTCACCACTGTCCTTTACCTGAGGTCACCACTGTCCTTTACCTGAGGTCACCACTGTCCTTTACCTGAGGTCACCACTGTCCTTTACCTGAAGTCACCACTGTCCTTTACCTGAGGTCACCACTGTCTTTTACCTGAGGTCACCATTGTCCTTTACCTGAGTTCACCACTGTCCTTTACCTGAGGTCACCACTGTCTTTTACCTGAGGTCACCATTGTCCTTTACCTGAACTCACCACTGTCCTTTACCTGAGGTCACCACTGTCTTTTACCTGAGGTCACCACTGCTTTTTACCTGAGGTCCCACTGTCATTTACCTGAGGTCACTATTGTCCTTTACCTGAGGTCACTATTGTCCTTTACCTGAGGTCACCACTGTCCTTTACCTGAGGTCACCACTGTCCTTTACCTGAGGTCACCACTGTCCTTTACCTGAGGTCACGGCGATCCTTTACCTGAGTTCACCACTGTCCTTTACCTGAGGTCACCGCTGTCCTTTACCTTAGGTCACCCCTGTCCTTTACCTAAGCTCACCACTGTCCTTCACCTGAGGTCACGGCGATCCTTTACCTGAGTTCACCACTGTCTTTTACCTTAGGTCACCACTGTCCTTTACCAGAGATCCCACAGTCCTTTTCTGAGGTCACCACTGTCCTCTACCTGAGGTCACCACTGTCCTTTACCTAAGGTCACCACTGTCCTTTACCTAAGGTCACCACTGTCCTTTACCTGAGGTCACCACTGTCCTTTACCTGAGGTCACCACTGTCCTTTACCTGAGGTCACCACTGTCATTTACCTGAGGTCACTATCGACCTTTACCTGAGGTCACCACTGTCCTTTACCTGAGGTCACCACTGTCCTTTACCTGAGGTCACCACTGTCCTTCACCTGAGGTCACTACTGTCCTTTACCTGAGGTCACTACTGTCCATTGCCTAGGTCACCACTGTCCTTTACCTGAGGTCACCACTGTCCTTTACCTGAGGTTACCACTGTCCTTCACCTGAGGTCACCACTGTCCTTTACCTGAGGTCACCACTGTCCTTTACCTGAGGTCACCACTGTCCTTTACCTGAGGTCACCACTGTCCTTAACCTGAGGTCACTATCGACCTTTACCTGAGGTCACCACTATCCATTGCCTGAGGTCACCACTGTCCTTTACCTGAGGTCACCACTGTCCTTTACCTGACGTCACCACTATCCATTGCCTGAGGTCACCACTTTCCTTTACCTAAGGTCACCACTGTCTTTTACCTGAGGTCACTACTGTCATTACCTGAGGTCACCACTGTCATCTACCTGAGGTCACCACTGTCCTTTACCTGAGGTCACCACTGTCTTTTACCTGAGGTCACCACTGTCCTCTACCTGAGGTCACCACTGTCCTTCACCTGAGGTCACCACTGTCCTTTACCTGGTCACCACTGTCCTTTACCTGGTCACCACTGTCCTTTACCTGAGGTCACTATCGACCTTTACCTGAGGTCACCACTGTCCTTTACCTGAGGTCACCACTGTCCTTTACCTGAGGTCACTATCGACCTTCACCTGAGGTCACCACTGTCCTTTACCTGAGGTCACCACTGTCCTTTACCTGAGGTCACTACTGTCCTTTACCTGAGGTCACTACTGTCCTTTACCTGAGGTCACTACTGTCCTTTACCTGAGGTCACCACTGTCCTTTACCTGAGGTCACCACTGTTCTTTACCTGAGGTCACCACTGTCCTTTACCTGAGGTCACCACTGTCCTTTACCTGAGGTCACCACTGTCCTTTACCTGAGGTCACCACTGTCCTTTACCTGAGGTCACGGCGATCCTTTACCTGAGGTCACCACTGTCCTTTACCTGAGGTCACCACTGTCCTTTACCTGAGGTCACTACTGTCCTTTACCTGAGGTCACCACTGTCCTTTACCTGAGGTCACGGCGATCCTTTACCTGAGGTCACCACTGTCCTTTACCTGAGGTCACCACTGTCCTTTACCTGAGGTCACTACTGTCCTTTACCTGAGGTCACCACTGTCCTTTACCTGAGGTCACGGCGATCCTTTACCTGAGGTCACCACTGTCCTTTACCTGAGGTCACCACTGTCCTTTACCTGAGGTCACCACTGTCTTTTACCTGAGGTCACCACTGTTCTTTAGCGGAGGTCACCACTGTCTTTTACCTTAGGCCCCACTGTCCATTACCAGAGATCCCACAGCCCATTTCTGAGGTGACCACTATCAATTAGATGACATCTCATATCCGTCCAACTACTTCGCATGGTCTTCGTGTTAGATGTTGTATACAAACCAAATCTTGCTGTCTTCAATAATAATCCCTGACTTAAATTAAGATTAAAACATCTAAATTCAATTATCTTATATCTAAATGTTTCCTGTGTAAAAAAAACAAACTAAAATGTGAAAATATTTACACGAAATAAACATTCTGTTGTAGATTTAAACCAAACCAAGTATACGATATTCCGCATTATATATATATATATATATATATATATATATATATATATATATATATATATATATATATATATATATATATATATATATATATATATATATATATATATATATATATATATATATATATATATCATGAATCTTATCCAACTTTTCCCACCGACACAGATAAGCGCTAGCCGGCAGAAGTTTAGCCAGAAAACAAGCAGTACTGACAACGAGGCCCCGACAGCGGCCAAGGCTAAACCCGACGTCACGAACGATGCTAGAAAAATCCGAGCAGGCCGCACGGACTTTGGTCAGCTGCTTCAGAAGTTTTCTGGATCCGATTCCAATTCGGAGAAGTCTGACTCTGAGACCAACGTGACGGGCGAGGCGGCGGGGAGGAGGGGGGTACGTCGACAGGCAGCAGAAGAGATCCTGTCGAGTGAGGACTCGGAAAGTGCCAGGAGAACGCCGGAACGGACGCAGAGTTTAAAAATAGCCCCGAGCATGGCGTCTAGATTTGGCGGGGGTCTTGAAAAAAGTTCCAGTTTTAAGTCAGAGTTCATGTCCCGTAGACTTGCTCAAACCGCGGCTGTTGTTAAAGAACCCACCCCGCCGAGAGTGCTGAATCCGCCCCTAGAAAAAACTATACCGGAAGTGAAACCAGAGGTTGTTGCAGCGACTTTCGGTACGGTTAACACGACCGCTTCTGTAACTGGATACAGATCTCTCCGGGAGTCGATGAGAGACAGGTATCCAACGTCTCCACGAGCCTCACCTGACAAAGATGCCTTAACCCCCAGCAGACCAAAGATCTCAGAACCCCCCAGCACACACGAACCTGCTAGTGCTGTAAAAGAAGACGTCGCTCCACCTGTAAGACTTTCCTCTAGTAGTTCTGAACCGGCATCAACGACAGGAGGTAAATCCACCAGTTTCTCGGCCCGGTATGGTCTTTCTAGAAGAATCACAGACAGTGTAAATAGTAGTAAAGAAAATGTTCCAGAGATCTCGAGTAGCGTACCGTCTTTAAGCGGTCAAACAGTCAGGCCGAGGAAAGAATCGAGCACTTCCTCTGTTGAAGAAGATAAATCCGCCAGCATCTTAGCTAGGTACGGTATGAGTATTGATACACCAGAGAAGAAAGAAGTGCCGGAGGGTGGCGGGTGTACGGGAGACATTCCTTCAGGAGACTTGAAAACAACAGAGCCAGCTAAAGACGCCGGTGACCATTCGAGTATCGGACGGTCTAGTCGATTGCTTGAGATCTCTACACGATCGAAAGACAGTTCGATTACAAATCAATCGCATTTTACGACCGAGCGGCTCACGGCGAGGGCGTCGCCAGCCAAAGACAAAACATCGGTCATTGAACCCAGTTTACTATCACCTGACAGGAAAAGTCCAGGTAAGGAGGTCGCTACAGGTGGACTTGACAGGAGTCTGGAACTCTTGTCACGTGTGACGAAAGAACTGGACCACCCTGAGCAGCCCTCCTCCCTCCCCACCTCGCCGCTAAATCTGACGTCACCAACCCGTCAGACCAACCCCTCGTCGTTCCAAGAGGCAGAGAACTTGATTAAAAAAGTTGATAATAGGATTTCCTCCATGGCCAACAGTCATTCTCCGGAAAAATCAAAATCTCCGGAAAAATCAAAATCTCCGGAAAAATCAAAATCTCCGGAAAAAGAAAACGCCCCACACACTCGTGTACCACCGGTACTGACAACAAAGTCTGCGGTTGACGTAAAACACATATCCCAACAACAAACACACGTACCAACCTCCAAGTCGGATGTCGAGAATAACCATGACAAAGTAAAAGAACCCTCTAGACTAAAGATGTCGTCGGTATCACCTTCGAAGACAGAGGTTGAAAATAACCATGATAAAATAAAAGAATTCACTAAACAAAGTCCTCAGCGGGATCCTGAAGCTCCACACGAGGTTCCAGTCGGAATTAAAGCTCTCTCCCCAACAAAGACTTCTGTCGACGTGCTTGTAGCTAAATCTATCATAGCTCCACCAAGTTCAGTGGAGTCTAGCATTGCTCCACCGACATCATTGAAGTATGGCATAGCTCCACCAAGTTCGGTGGAGTCTAGCATTGCTCCACCGACATCATTGAAGTCTGGAATATCTCCATCAAGTTCGGTGGAGTCTGGCATTGCTCCACCGACATCAGTGGAATCTGATTCTAGCACCAACAGCATCAGAAGGACGTCGTCGTTTAAAGATGTGACCGTCAAGAGAACCGACTCCTTCGAGCAGAGGAAAGGCATCCTCAAGAGAACCCCCTCCCTGAAGAAGGAGAACGAGTCGGTCATCGTTGACCCCCAGCTGTCCAAGATCCTCCAGATGAGGAAACAGATGGTCGGTGACGTAGCCGAGACGGAGGAAGAGGCTGAAGAGGCAAAGGACGGCGTGCCAAATTTAGAGAGACGAAAGTCAAGGTCACTGTCTGCGGCTGAGGAGATCCAGGAGAACTTGAAGTGAGTCTAAAAACACTGAGGGTGCTAATGTTAGGTTGTGGGTGTTAATGTTAGGTTGTTGGTGTTTAGGTTGTGGGTGTTAATGTTAGGATGTGGGTGTTAATGTTAGGTTGTTGGTACTAATGTTAGGTTGTGGGTGCTAATGTTAGGTTGTGGGTGTTGATGTTAGGTTGTGGGTGCTAATGTTAGGTTGTGGGTGTTAATGTTAGGTTGTGGGTGTTGATGTTAGGTTGTGGGTGTTGATGTTAGGTTGTGGGTGTTAATGTTAGGTTGTGGGTGTTGATGTTAGGTTGTGGGTGTTAATGTTAGGTTGTGGGTGTTTAGGTTGTGGGTGTTAATGTTAGGTTGTGGGTGTTAATGTTAGGTTGTGGGTGCTAATGTTAGGTTGTGGGTGCTAATGTTAGGTTGTGGGTGCTAATGTTAGGTTGTGGGTGCTAATGTTAGGTTGTGGGTGCTAATGTTAGGTTGTGGGTGCTAATGTAAGGTTGTGGGTGCTAATGTTAGGTTGAGGGTGTTAATGTTAGGTTGTGGGTGTTAATGTTAGGTTGTGGGTGTTAATGTTAGGTTGTGGGTGCTAATGATAGGTTGTGGGTGTTGATGTTAGGTTGTGGGTGTTGATGTTAGGTTGTGGGTGTTAATGTTAGGTTGTGGGTGTTTAGGTAGTGGGTGTTAATGTTAGGTTGTGGGTGTTGATATTAGGTTGTGGGTGTTAATGTTAGGTTGTGGGTGTTAATGTTAGGTTGTGGGTGTTAATGTTAGGTTGTGGGTGTTGATGTTAGGTTGTGGGTGTTAATGTTAGGTTGTGGGTGTTAATGTTAGGTTGTGGGTGTTAATGTTAGGTTGTGGGTGTTAATGTTAGGTTGTGGGTGTTTAGGTTGTGGGTGTTAATGTTAGGTTGTGGGTGTTGATGTTAGGTTGTGGGTGTTGATGTTAGGTTGTGGGTGCTAATGTTAGGTTGTGGGTGTTTAGGTTGTGGGTGTTAATGTTAGGTTGTGGGTGTTAATGTTAGGTTGAGGGTGTTAATGTTAGGTTGTGGGTGTTAATGTTAGGTTGTGGGTGTTAATGTTACGTTGAGGGTGTTAATGTTAGGTTGTGGGTGTTTAGGTTGTGGGTGTTAATGTTAGGTTGTGGGTGCTAATGTTAGGTTGTGGGTGTTAATGTTAGGTTGTGGGTGTTTAGGTTGTGGGTGTTTAGGTTGTGGGTGTTAATGTTAGGTTGAGGGTGTTAATGTTAGGTTGTGGGTGTTTAGGTTGTGGGTGTTGATGTTAGGTTGTGGGTGTTGATGTTAGGTTGTGGGTGTTTAGGTTATGGGTGCTAATGTTAGGTTGTGGGTGTTGATGTTAGGTTGTGGGTGCTAATGTTAGGTTGTGGGTGCTAATGTTAGGTTATGGGTGCTAATGTTAGGTTGTGGGTGTTGATGTTAGGTTGTGGGTGCTAATGTTAGGTTGTGGGTGTTAATGTTAGGGTGTGGGTGTTTAGGTTGTGGGTGTTGATGTTAGGTTGTTGGTACTAATGTTAGGTTGTGGGTGTTGATGTTAGGTTGTTGGTACTAATGTTAGGTTGTGGGTGTTTATGTTAGGTTGTGGGTGTTAATGTTAGGTTGTGGGTGCTAATGTTAGGTTGTGGGTGCTAATGTTAGGTTGTGGGTGTTGATGTTAGGTTGTGGGTGTTGATGTTAGGTTGTGGGTGTTTATGTTAGGTTGTGGGTGTTGATGTTAGGTTGAGGGTGTTGATGTTAGGTTGTGGCTGTTAATGTTAGGTTGTGGGTGTTGATGTTAGGTTGAGGGTGTTGATGTTAGGTTGTGGCTGTTAATGTTAGGTTGTGGGTGTTGATGTTAGGTTGAGGGTGTTGATGTTAGGTTGTGGGTGTTGATGTTAGGTTGAGGGTGTTGATGTTAGGTTGAGGGTGTTGATGTTAGGTTGTGGGTGTTGATGTTAGGTTGTGGGTATTGATATAATGCTGTGGGTGCTAATGTTAGGTTGTGGGTGTTGATGTTAGGTTGTGGGTGTTGATGTTAGGTTGTGGGTGTTGATGTTAGGTTGAGGGTGTTGATGTTAGGTTGAGGGTGTTGATGTTAGGTTGTGGGTGTTGATGTTAGGTTGAGGGTGTTGATGTTAGGTTGAGGGTGTTGATGTTAGGTTGTGGGTGCTAATGTTAGGTTGAGGGTGCTAATGTTAGGTTGTGGGTGCTAATGTTAGGTTGAGGGTGTTGATGTTAGGTTGTGGGTGTTGATGTTAGGTTGTGGGTGCTAATGTTAGGTTGTGGGTGTTGATGTTAGGTTGAGGGTGTTGATGTTAGGTTGAGGGTGTTGATGTTAGGTTGTGGGTGCTAATGTTAGGTTGTGGGTGTTAATGTTAGGTTGTGGGTGCTAATGTTAGGTTGTGGGTGTTAGTATAATGCTGAGGGCTATAATGTTAGATTTTGTGTGTTATGTTAGGGTTTGTGTGTTATGTTACGGTTTGTGTGTTATGTTAGAGTTTGTGTGTTAATGTAAGTGTTTTTGGTTATTAATTTTAAATTGTGGGTGTAAATGTTATGGTTTGATCATTGCACTATACCATTTCTTTTACTGTTAGTTGTTGGGCCTAAATGTTAGGTTTTGGACAATAAACCATTAGCGATCAATCAACATTTGTGTTAATTAAGATACATTGCATTAGGACGTGCAACATTCCCTTTGTCTTTAGACGACAATTGAATTAGACCAAAACTAATTACCGTCCACATAATTAACATGTAATTAATCAAGCCTAGAAGTGGTAAGAAACAGTGGCGGTAGGTATACAAATGATGTGACGTAGCTTATTTTACATTTTAGGCTCATTTTCTTTTTCATTTTAAAGTACTCTTTTTATAAAGCGGAGGTGGCTATAACTCAAACGATATCATTTACACGATTTTTTTTGTGTACTGTTTATCCAGATAAATCGCACATAATTTGAGAACCTGATAAAACGTTGGCCTATAAATAAAACTCAACGCGTGTGCCTTCAAATTGCTTTCTTAAGCAGTTTGTTGTTTTAAGCAGGGGAGTTAACTGCTAAAAATCTTTGCCATTGATACGATAAGCGTGGTTATGTTCCCTGTCGAATTTTTTTTTTTTTTGTTTTTTTTTTGTTTTTTGTTTTATCAAGTTGAATAAACAAACCTTTTCACCTCCTATTTAAAGTGACATATCATCCCAAATCTTAACTCACGTGCAGGCGTCCACCTTTAACCCGAATTTCGACCACGTCTTTATACAATCTACCTCTTATCTCGCTTTCGAAAAAAATGCAACCTACCTTTAACAATAGCTTGATTACTATGGAAACCATACCATCCGTTTTGAAAACAAACAACGTAGGTATACATTATTTAGACTAGAACACCACGTTGTACAAATCCAGACCCCCCCTCTACACTGAATCAAAACTCCAACAGTCCAAGGCCCCCCCCCCCCTCTACACGGAATCAACACTCTAACAGTCCAATTCCCCCCCCCCCCCCCTCTACACTGAACCAACACTCCAACAGTCCAAGTGCCCCCTCCCCCCACTGAACCAACACTCCAACAGTCCAAGTCCCCCCCCCCCCCCACTGAACCAACACTCCAGCAGTCCAAGCCCCCCCCCCCCTCCCCTAGACACCAGACTTAACTGCGTTGTGTTCACCTACCTGGCCGCCCCTCCCCAGGTACTCAAAGATCAAGCTGGCGGAGCAGGGCAAGAACCCGGAGGAGGACGAGACGCTCAAGCCCACGAGCGTGGCTGAGCGCATCTACTTCATGCAGACCAGGATCGAGGAGGAGAAGTACGCCGCCACCACGCCCAAGCCAAGGTCAGGGCTGTCCACGCCGAGGTCAAGGCCAAGGTGAGTGCTTATGCGTGCCTTGACGGATGTGTTGACATACACATCGTCGCTCACTTTCGTTTGTACCGTTTTTTTTTTTGTTTTTTTTTTTTTTACATTTTATTTACTGCGTGTGCTTTGTTTACTAATTCCAATCAACAACTCTCTACTGGGCCCGAACCCATCTAGTCCTAGTAATTTTTTATTATTTTTTTAATTTTTAATTTATTTTTATTTATTTTTAAGCTTTACTAACATAGCTGTTTGTGATAGTGAGGTCGGGTAGTTAGGTTTTTTTTTTTTTGTCAAAATTATTCATCGTTATAAATCGTTATTTAACCAATTTCTAAATTGATGAATTCATTTTCGATGACAAAGCAATATCTTTAAATTTTCAATTTATTTTAAATATTAAATATTCAATAAAAAGTTAATTTAAAAAAAAATTTGATTCAATAACGAAACGGGAAGTAACAATATTAATTAGAAACGATCACTCGATCCGTTTGCTGAGTTAGCTTTCACATCTCTAAACATATTTTTTATACAAGGCAAGTTACGAAACGGTGAATAGGAAACGACTCGAGTGATTGTATAAGGAAATATTAGCGTCATTGAATCGTTTAGGGTAGTAAAACATTATTTTGCATGAGAGATGTATCTTAAAGAAAAATGGACTTGCAAAGAAAAAACTACTTTTGGTTTTGAAACATCAGGCCCCGACGTATTCATATATCTTTACAATTTCTTTATAATCTACGACTAAAGTATATGATAAATCAAGTATAAAAACTTTGATAATAACACGCTTTTAAAATATTTCTAATGAGTTAACATAATTATGTATTAAAATCTTCGTATTTTTCCAATAACAAACAAAATATAGGTCATATATTTTGAAACATTAAAAAAAACCATTAAAGTAAGTAATTAACTATAGGCTATATTTTTACCAAACATTGTACCTGACATATTTCACCCAAATTTACTTTAAATTAAATCTTGAAAGGATTTTTTTTTATGTATATATACATTTTTTACAAGTTTCTGCCTTGTGTGCAAACGGCTTTCAAGTAAAAATGTTATTTTCTACCATTAGATAATGTCTAGGAACCCTTGAATGTCTAGCACTCCTCTATTTTTTCATCATAACACCTTTGTCTCTCTCACTCCAGGTCGGGCTACATCACCCCCACCCTCGCCAAATCTCTGGACGAGCACCTCCCCCCGATCTCCACCTCCTCCTCTTCCTCCTCCCTCCACGCCCTGGCAACCACCAACTCGTCCCTGACAACCAGCGTCCATGGCAACCAGTCGAGTCAAACGCCGCTATCCAACACGAGGCTGATAGAGAAACTCAACGAGATTGCCGGCGCCACTGGGGTGGTTGAGGAGCGGCGTCACAGGTTCCAGAACAGGAACAGGAACGACTGGCGTCACCAGACGCAGCCCGTGACGCAGGAGGAGATAAACGCCGCCGACTGGTCAGTGATCTCCCTTATATGTGTACCAGGTTATCTCCCTTCCTGAACGAAAGTGGTGTGTAACACCGGTTAGGTATTGACGCGGTTATTTTGGTGGCATAGCTACCATACCCCAGGTCTTTCATCTCACCAAGCATGAGTCCTAACCTTAGGCCTAATCCTCACTCTTACATCAACAAATACGTCATATGGTAATCAACGTTCCCTTTAAAGAGCATGCAATTTGTGTGCTAGGTGTTCTCAAAGACATAAAAAATACATAGATCTAGATCTATGTATTTTACAAAATAACTAGGAGGCAGGTTGAAAACTGCGTCCGCACAAGCGAGCGGCTCAGAGGGAACGTTGATGGCAATGAATATGATAATGCACTGGAAAAAACTAGCGTTTTGATCAGGTTTTTTCGCGAACATTCATATCGCAGCCAGGAGAAATCCTACCCCACCCGCGGCACCTTATTCTTTACTTATTCATCTGCCCAACCCCCCCCCCCCCCCCCCCCCCATTTTTTAGCCACAGCTCTGCCATATTTTGTTTTGCCCCCATTAGTCATATAAAAGAAATAGTTTTGACCGCCCCCCCCCCCCACATGTCTCGAAAACACTGTAATGCCCCCTCTCCGCCTATGTCAGAATTTTTCCCCCCCCCCCCCCCCCCCCATCCACCCGTCCCGCTTTTACAATTAGGGGAAATAACTCCTCACGCTCTATTTATGTTTTTTTGTAAACGGGTTTCCCAGCCTCCCCCACCCCCCTCCCTTACCCCCACCCCCACCTATACTCACATCTCTATGATAAAGTATTTTTTGTTTTGCTCTATTTCCCATCCATCTCTAGTGAAATCTTAGTTTAAAAAAATATCCGCGCCATCTTTGTATGTCTTTGTCTTGTAAGCTGTGATTGGCTAGCGTCTTAACGATTCTACAATCAGGCGGGTGGGGGGGGGGGAACATTTGATGGTGTATTATTACGTGTTTTGGCAAGCTCTGGAACCTCTCACAGCAGACGTCAGGCAGGAGTAACGTAGCTGTTGTCGTCTGGTTGTAGTTTGTACTGGGATATGATCCTGTCGGCTTATCTCTTGCCGGTTAAACCAGAATCTTTGTATTAAGGTCTGACGGCTAATTTCTACCTTTCATCAGAGCTGATGGACGTGTGCTTAGATAATTATATGAATTAGTAATTTAATTAACTAAACAAAAAACTTGTTTTCAGAAATCATTCTCACACTCTTTGGATTATTTTTTATTCTAAAATGTGAACGGAATTTTAAGACGTTACGATTTTACAGATTAAAATTTTGGTTCATGATTTCTAACTGATCGCTAAGTGAAATTTGTGATAGAGATTTAGGTAATTAAGGAGTGTAATATGTTTGTGTATCATATTCTAAGCAGAGGTTATAAATAATGTAAGTAGTTTCAAGATTTATATGAAAATTATGGTCCTATACACACATCCACGCACACCCACGCACACCCACACACACACACACACACATATATATATATATATATATATATATATATATGTTTACTTACCTCCTACACATACGTTAATACTTAACGCCACTTCTTGTCATAGCGTGTACAAAATACGGCAAGTTGCCAAATGCTAACTCAGTACTAAAAATGTCCTATCCTACCCGCGTGTTTAGCTCTATCATCTCTTGGTTTAACATGAATGATTCATCTATTCTATCTTTGAATTTATTGTTTTCTGAATTGAACGAATGTGTGCTTTTTAAAACGTGTATCCATTATGATGTATCCATGTGGAGGGTGGCTTTCTCACGTAGAAAGATCACGCAGACGACAGGGTTGATGGTAGAGTGAATTAGATGGGCCAATATAAAAAACTTCAGCAATTTTAAAAACATCATTTTGTGTCTTAAATGATAAACGAGGGCGTTAAAGTGTGGCGCTAATTATATAACAACGCTCCTGTCTTGCTTTTATACAAAGCTAATGAATCGTCCGTTGATTACTTTAACATATGTAGGCGGTTTTTACCTTAACCCCCACCCCCGACACCCCTCCTTCCAACTACATCACCCCAGCTCTAGCAGCAACGTAAGATACTGACACCCATCGCTACCGTACGTTCAGATGACGATGATGATAATATCTTAACGCACCGGAAAGCACACATCTCCTAATTGATTGTAATTAGAAGTGATTGCGATGTGCATCGCGTGTTAATTAATTAAATAATCCCGAATGTTCATAGTGTTTCCCCTACAAAATCAACCTTTATCCATATTGCTATTGAATCACGCGTAATTCTTGTTAATGGAATTCTCATTCTAGGAACTATTGGATTACAACAATAAATTTGTTGTGTAATTGTTGTATATTATGTTTGCCTTTTAATTAGAACCATTCAACACACCGCCAACATTTATGATTGTAGAAACATGACACTCTTTTAACAATTAACCACTGTTTGTAAAAGTTTAAAGGGATGGTGTGATTGAAGTGTAGAACGCTCAATGAGAACTTGAGCGTCAGGAGTTTAGTTCCCGAGTTCGAATCAGGGCAGAACTGAGTCCACCTTATTCACCTGTGTTCCGGAGTTGACAGTGTCATTTTTTATATGGTCCAAGAAACTTGTTTGCCGTACACATCTAACTTATGGATTATGTGTCACAATAAACACGTTTAAATACGAAACTTCACCTGATGTATAATGATTATTTTCTTTCAAATACGAAAGTATCCATTACGTACCCAAATTAATGTATTAAGATAAGAAACTATCCTACAGCTAACTTCCCTATTAATAATATTTTAAATTATCCACTATGTGTCACAATAATTGTTTGTAAGTACTGAACTATCCCACAACTAACTCCTATACTATTACTTCGTTAAATTATTCACTATGTGTCAAAATAAATGTTTGTAAGTACGAAACTATCCCACAACTCCTACATTATTAATTCTTTAAACTGCCCTCTATGTGTCACAATAATTGTTTGTAAGTACGAAACTATCCCACAACAAACTTCTATATTATTACATCGGTAAATTATCCTCTTTGTGTAACAATAAATGTTTGTAAGTACGAAACTATCCCACAACTAACTCCTATATTCTTCATTCTTTAAACTGCCCTCTATGTGTCACAATAAATGTTTGTAAGTACGAAACTATTCCACAACTAACTCCCTTCCTCTATATGTACGAAACTATCCCACAGCTAACTCCCTTCCTCTATGTATCGCAACAAATGTTTAAAAAGTACGAAACTATCCAACAACTAACTCCCTTCCTCTATGTGTCACAACAAATGTTTAAAAAGTACGAAACTATCCCACAACTAACTCCCTTCCTCTATATGTACGAAACTATCCCACAACTAACTCCTATATTATTAATTCTTTAAACTGCCCTCTATGTGTCGCAATACATGTTTGTACGTACGAAACTATCCCACAACTAACTCCCTTCCTCTATGTATCACAATAAATGTGTGTGTGTACGAAACTATCCCACAACTAACTCATATATTATTACTTCTTTAAACTGCCTTCTATGTGTCACAATAAATGTTTAAAAGTACGAAACTAACTCACAACTAACTCCCTTCCTCTATCTGTCACAATAAATGTTTGTAAGTACGAAACTATCCTTTCAACTAACTCCAATGTTTATCTGTCCCCAGCCTGGAGACGGTGAGCACATTCCGCGCGCTGGTACGTAAACAAACATCTTTTAACGCTTTCGAGCAGCTCCAAGCCCAGAGTCTCTCCAAGACTTTGGTCACCCCGGGGGTCAAGAAATCCATAGAGTTCCCCCAGCACTTGTCCCCGCCCCCCAAAAACCGGAACCGGCGTTTGAGGAACAGGACGCTTCCGGTTACAGCCGAGGAGCTGAACGCGGTGCCAGAACACCAGATGCTGATAACTGACCCGGAGTGGGCCAAGGTCAGACACGGTGCCTGGTGTCCCCATAGGCTAGACAAGTTGACCCAATAACAGGCCGATGGTGTCTTAACGAACTAACATACCCTACCAAAGCATGTTTAGATAGGTTCAGCTATATTTTTATTCTAACAAAAAGTAGTGGATGCACATTAATGACATGTTATTTTACCATAACTAAGTCCTTTGCCTAATACAATCAGAAGCCGTTTTGAAAAACTAGACCTTATCTTCCATGCATTTAATTTTTAAAAAAACTTGTTTAGTTCCATCTGTATTCCATAATCATTAAGTATTTGGTTAGTTTTTATTATAACCAAATAATAAATTTAAATTCGTAAAATTCTACCCCTCCCCACACAGACTTTCCATAAGTAATTCTTTCACACTAAAGTGCGAACATCCTCCCCCCTCCCCCACCCACCCACAGATTTTCGCAATGTTTGATGTCAGTAATGTACCACCACATGTAGATCTACACTTTTTTTTTTTGACAAACCATAAACGCCGTTTTGCTCAATAGTATTCATGTGATGAATGTTGTCAAAGACTTGTTTAGCTTAGGGGCGCCTGCACTTGTCATGACGCATGGGTTGTCCACTAACTGCATGAGAATCACTGCCAGCATCTGAATACTGGGGTGCTAAAAATAGTAACACGTGTTCGGAAATTCCCCTCTACATTGTTCTATAATGCTAACACTATGATGTTTTTATGGCTATCTTGACCACAATGTAACCACAAGGATCAGACGACAACCACTTAGACTAGTCTCTAGTGCATGCTGCCTCTAACCACTCTAACTACACGCTACGGACTGGTTCTGACATCCACTAGCAGCATGGTTGAGTAGTTTGTGTCAAATAAGGATTGGTTAATTTTTAAATATTGAACATGTACACATTTATTTATATCTATTGAAACACTGATCTTCCTTCATTGTGTCAGCAGTATTCGAAACTCAGTCCCCAGTCACACAGCTAAGTGCTAACAGAAATACATGCACCATTTTATGCATTTTTCAATCATCTCAAAGTGTAACTAAACATATCATAATTCCACGTTACTTAGTGCTTACAATAAACGTAATGAAAAGCCCAGTTAATTTTTAAAATATGTATTTACTAAACTGGCTTCTACCCATTATGATCGAAGGGGGATACAGCTAAGACAAGTTTGTACTTAAAGGCGCTAGAACTAGAGTAGTGTTCTGAAGAACTTTCTGTAACTTGAGTGCTTAATGAGACGCCATGCTTGATATTCTGACGACAAATACTTTATAAGTCTTTTACTCTGACATTTTTCTGACATTGTAGTAGCAAACTTGTCACTCTGGGACCCTTTTAACTGGGTATCTGACACTCCCACGATTTCTGCTCACTGACATAAACTGAAAACCTGACTCTGATAATAACTGACTCTCACGATGACTCCCGTTTTTCAGACCGATGACTCCGAGAAAAGAGACTCCAGGACAGACTCTGGCATACTTTCCGGATCTGACGTGGACTTGCTGTACGACCAGTCCGCCGTGGGCAGTGATGGTCAGCGGTTGCCTGGCAACCAGACTGACCTGGCCGAGAATGACCCGTCCAGGATGAGTATCGCGGCCAAGGCGTCGTACTTCAAGAGCCTGGAGGAGAGGACCAAGGCGGAGAAGTCGGCCAGTGGGGCTAAAAGGTGAGGTGGTCACCCTGTGTGTGTGGGGGGTGGGGGGGGCGGCTGACATATTTGATGGTCACACTGTGTGGTGATAAAAGTTGAGGTGGTCACCCTGTGTGTGTGGGGGGGGGGGGCGGCTGACATATTTGATGGTCACACTGTGTGGTGATAAAAGTTGAGGTGGTCACCCTGTGTGTGTGGGGGGTGGGGGGGGGGGGGGCGGCTGACATATTTGATGGTCACACTGTGTGGTGATAAAAGTTGAGGTGGTCACCCTGTGTGTGTGGGGGGGGGGGGGGGGGCGGCTGACATATTTGATGGTCACACTGTGTGGTGATAAAAGTTGAGGTGGTCACCCTGTGTGTGTGGGGGGTGGGGGGGGGGGGGGGCGGCTGACATATTTGATGGTCACACTGTGTGGTGATAAAAGTTGAGGTGGTCACCCTGTGTGTGTGGGGGGGGGGGGGCGGCTGACATATTTGATGGTCACACTGTGTGGTGATAAAAGTTGAGGTGGTCACCCTGTGTGTGTGGGGGGGGGGGGGGGCGGCTGACATATTTGATGGTCACACTGTGTGGTGATAAAAGTTGAGGTGGTCACCCTGTGTGTGTGGGGGGGGGGGGGGCGGCTGACATATTTGATGGTCACACTGTGTGGTGATAAAAGTTGAGGTGGTCACCCTGTGTGTGTGGGGGGGGGGGGGGCGGCTGACATATTTGATGGTCACACTGTGTGGTGATAAAAGTTGAGGTGGTCACCCTGTGTGTGTGGGGGGGGGGGGGCGGCTGACATATTTGATGGTCACACTGTGTGGTGATAAAAGTTGAGGTGGTCACCCTGTGTGTGTGGGGGGGGGGGGGGCGGCTGACATATTTGATGGTCACACTGTGTGGTGATAAAAGTTGAGGTGGTCACCCTGTGTGTGTGGGGGGGGGGGGGGCGGCTGACATATTTGATGGTCACACTGTGTGGTGATAAAAGTTGAGGTGGTCACCCTGTGTGTGTGGGGGGGGGGGGGGCGGCTGACATATTTGATGGTCACACTGTGTGGTGATAAAAGTTGAGGTGGTCACCCTGTGTGTGTGGGGGGGGGGGGGGCGGCTGACATATTTGATGGTCACACTGTGTGGTGATAAAAGTTGAGGTGGTCACCCTGTGTGTGTGGGGGGGGGGGGGGCGGCTGACATATTTGATGGTCACACTGTGTGGTGATAAAAGTTGAGGTGGTCACCCTGTGTGTGTGGGGGGGGGGGGGGGCGGCTGACATATTTGATGGTCACACTGTGTGGTGATAAAAGTTGAGGTGGTCACCCTGTGTGTGTGGGGGGGGGGGGGGCGGCTGACATATTTGATGGTCACACTGTGTGGTGATAAAAGTTGAGGTGGTCACCCTGTGTGTGTGGGGGGGGGGGGGGCGGCTGACATATTTGATGGTCACACTGTGTGGTGATAAAAGTTGAGGTGGTCACCCTGTGTGTGTGGGGGGGGGGGGGGCGGCTGACATATTTGATGGTCACACTGTGTGGTGATAAAAGTTGAGGTGGTCACCCTGTGTGTGTGGGGGGGGGGGGGCGGCTGACATATTTGATGGTCACACTGTGTGGTGATAAAAGTTGAGGTGGTCACTCTTGCGTGGGGCTTAATTTTTAGGTAGGGTTTAAAGCGTTGGGCTAAACCAGGGGTCTCCAAACTACGGCCCGCGGGCCGAATGCGGCCCGCAAGGTCCTCTCATCCGGCCCGCGGAGATCTTTTTGCCCAAGGAATCGTTTGTATTGTTGATGATGGCTAAGGAAATTTGCCCAGAAAAATCAAAGACATGCCTGTAAGAAACTGGCCCCCGAACTGAAATTTGATAGTTAATGCGGCCCTCGGACTGAAAAGTTTGGAGACCCCTGGGCCGCTAAACGGTAATATGGGTATCTAATTAAATCCAAAATGATTGAAGTAGATTGCTACTCTCCACATCTGTATAAGTGAGTGTATTTTTATGTAGTCTTGTATAAGAGGTAGGTTTTCATTACATCCAGTATAAGAGGTAGATGTGTATTACATCCTGTGCAAGTGGGTAAGTTTACATTACATCCTGTGTAAGTGGGTAGGTTTTCATTACAACCTGTTTAAGTGGGTAGGCTTTCATTACATCCTGTGAAAGTGGGTAGGCTTTCATTACATCCTGTGTAAGTGGGTAGGTTTTCATTACATCCTGTGTAAGTGGGTAGGTTTTCAGTACAACCTGTGTAAGTGGGTAGGTTTTCATTACAACCTGTGTAAGTGGGTAGGTTTTCATTACACCCTGTGTAAGTGGGTAGGTTTTCACCCCACACTGTGTCTGGACCAACCCAGCGTCCAAGGCATTGTAAAGCCCCTATCCCTAGTCACAATACCCTCTATGTACCTGACCCCCCCCCCCCCCACTCTACTGCAGGTACATCCTGAGGAAGAAGCGAGAGAGGTCCCAGACCATGCCCATCACCGAGGACGAGGTCAAGTGCGCCTCAGAGATTGGAGATACCGGAAATAACACGTCACAAAACGAAGCGGTCAGTAGGTCAAGGTCGACGAGCGTCTCCGAAGAGGGAGAGAAGGAGGGTGAGCCGGACGAACTGACCAAGTGAGTAGTGTGGCATATGGGGTGGGTAGGGGGAGGGGTTGATATGGGCCGGGGGTGGGGGAGAGAAGGAGGGTGAGCCGGACGAACTGACCAAGTGAGTAGTGTGGCATATGGGGTGGGTGGGGGGAGGGTTTGATATGGGCGAGGGGGGGGAGAGAAGGAGGGTGAGCCGGACGAACTGACCAAGTGAGTAGTGTGGCATATGGGGTGGGTTGAGGGAGGAGTTGATATGGGCGAGGGGGGGGGGGGGAGAGAAGGAGGGTGAGCCGGACGAACTGACCAAGTGAGTAGTGTGGCATATGGGGTGGGTAGGGGGAGGGTTTGATATGGGCGAGGGGGGGGGGGGAGAGAAGGAGGGTGAGCCGGACGAACTGACCAAGTGAGTAGTGTGGCATATGGGGTGGGTTGAGGGAGGAGTTGATATGGGCGAGGGGGGGGGGGGAGAGAAGGAGGGTGAGCCGGACGAACTGACCAAGTGAGTAGTGTGGCATATGGGGTGGGTAGGGGAGGGGTTGATATGGACGAGGGGGGGGGGGAGCCGGACGAACTGACCAAGTGAGTAGTGTGGCATATGGGGTGGGTAGGGGGAGGGGTTGATATGGGCGAGGGGGGGGGGGAGAGAAGGAGGGTGAGCCGGACGAACTGACCAAGTGAGTAGTGTGGCATATGGGGTGGGTAGGGGAGGGGTTAATATGGACGAGGGGGGGGGGGAGCCGGACGAACTGACCAAGTGAGTAGTGTGGCATATGGGGTGGGTAGGGGGAGGGGTTGATATGGGCGAGAGGGGGGGGGGGGAGAGAAGGAGGGTGAGCCGGACGAACTGACCAAGTGAGTAGTGTGGCATATATGGGGTGGGTAGGGTGGAGGAGTTGATATGGGCCGGGGGTGGTGTGCAGGAGGGTAACCCCACATAGATAACAGGGTGCCAGGAAAATTAGATAGACGATGGTGTAGGGGCTATCAAATAATGTGGGGCTCCTGATAAAGGCCTGCAACCATTAATTTTATATGTGAATCGTTTCCTCTCTCACTGTAGGAAACACCACTTTTCCATCTCACACAGTAGGATACGCCACTTTTTAATTTAAAAAAAAAAAGTATTTCCCCTACAACAAGCCTAATTGTTTTTGTTTTGATGATTACAAAAATTATCGAATTTTTACCCATGACGTTTATCATATGTTTTAGTTTTATAACACATACACAGATCTAAATCTCTAGCTCGCGTGTTTGTGTAGTTTCAACAGAAAAAGTATAGACTATATATAAAGTGTGCCTGGTGTTTTACTGTCAGGGAAAACAATTCATACAGAGAGAGTTTTCTTTCTTGTTTGCAGCTGGTAACACAAGAATATTAGATTACGCCATAATCCGATTCTAACAGTTTAGATAATAGTATAGGAGTTCGTAACAGTTATCTGTAGTAAAATTATACCTGGCCAATAAACAACTCAGGGGTGGGTCACGTGAGCATGTGTGTCACGAAGATGGCCTTGAGATACCCGCCCAGATGTATGTTTTCTCTTCAACGATGGAATATTCCATTGCTAGAGTCTGGCTTAACTGGTTCTTGAAGTTTATAAACCAGTTTGTGAGCTCTTAGAAAATTGTTAAGTTCGTCTGTTTTGTTGAATTAATCTCACCTTCCAGCCCCACCCCCACTTTACCCTCGCCTTCTTATTACACACACAAACACACAACCCACACGTATATATACGGTGTAAGGAAACCCCTAGCATTTAGATATAGCCGCAGCCAATCAGCGTCTCCCCTTTCGCTGTCGGATAAGCATCGCCTGAGCTCGCGCTTACTGTGACGTATGGGATTACCCACGCTGTATTGCGTTGTTCTAATTATAGTGCTAGGTCAACGGGATTTACCGAAACCTCCCTTTCCTTGAGATAAGAAAACCTACTAGTTTGGTATCGACTGACGTACAGTAGGCACTGCCTGGTGATAGGGTCGCGGCACACATTGAAGGAATAAGTGGCAGTTTGATGACAATTTGGGGTAGGGGAAGGGGCTGGTTGTGAAAACCAGTATTTATCCAGACGACTTCCATCTCAGAATTAAGTTGTCAACTGAGGGATACATGGGATACTTGATACGTTTTCACTAGCAGATGATATAAATTTTTCTTAATGTGCCTACTTATTGACAGTACTTTGATTCAAACTTTTTGTTTTTGTTGAGAAAAAATAATCAATCAGTATTATTTTAAATAGACACATGTTTTACTAAAATTAGCTTAAAGTATGCATCTTTTTTCTGGTGTTTATCGGTTTTTAGAAGAAAATTAGTCTAACACTGTCCAGCTTATGCGTTACTTCTGTGAATGTTTCTCCTACAATACCTCTGCGATGTTATCGTTTGGAACAATGTGCAATATCCTAGCCAGTTGTTCTAGAACATCCTGTCTGTCCACAGCCTGTCACTGTCCGAGAAGGTCAAGCTGTTCTCACAGCTCAAGGACAAGGAACAGCAACCTCCGGTCAAGGCCGAGGCACCCGTCAGGAGGAGGAAGGGGAAGACAGCCTCGCGGTTTAGCACACAGGTTAGTGTTAGGGGGTTGGGTTGGGTTTAGGGTAGAGGGGTTGGATAGGTTTAGGGTAGAGGTTAGTGTTAGAGGGGTTGGGTTGGGTTTAGGGTAGAGGGGTTGGGTTGGGTTTAGGGTAGAGGTTAGTGTTAGAGGGGTTGGGTTTAGGGTAGAGGTTAGTGTTACGGGGGGTTGGGTTGGGTTTAGTGTAGAGGTTAGTGTTAGAGGGGTTGGGTTGGGTTTAGGGTAGAGGTTAGTGTTAGAGGGGTTGGGTTGGATTTAGGGTAGAGGTTAGTGTTAGAGGGGTTAGGTTGGGTTGGGTTTAGGGTAGAGGTTAGTGTTAGAGGGGTTGGGTTTAGGGTAGAGGTTAGTGTTAGAGGGGTTGGGTTGGGTTGGGTTTAGGGTAGAGGTTAGTGTTAGAGGGGTTGGGTTTAGGGTAGAGGTTAGTGTTAGAGGGGTTGGGTTGGGTTTAGGGTAGGGTAGAGGTTAGTGTTAGAGGGGTTGGGTTTAGGGTAGAGGTTAGTGTTAGAGGGTTGGGTTTAGGGTAGAGGTTAGTGTTAGAGGGGTTGGGTTTAGGGTAGAGGTTAGTGTTAGAGGGGTTGGGTTTAGGGTAGGGTAGAGGTTAGTGTTAGAGGGGTTGGGTTTAGGGTAGTGGTTAGTGTTAGAGGATTGGGTTTAGGGTAGAGGTTAGTGGTAGAGGGGTTGGGTTTAGGGTAGAGGTTAGTGTTAGAGGGTTGGGTTGGGTTTAGGGTAGGGTAGAGGTTAGTGTTAGAGGGGTTGGGTTTAGGGTAGAGGTTAGTGTTAGAGGGTTGGGTTTAGGGTAGAGGTTAGTGTTAGAAGGGTTGGGTTTAGGGTAGAGGTTAGTGTTAGAGTGGTGGCTTTGGTTTATGGTAGAGGTTAGTGTTAGAGTGGTGGCTTTAGTTTATGGTAATGGTTAGTATGCGTATGTTGTCGTTAGGTTGGGTTTAGGTAGAGGTTAGTGTTAGTGTGATCTTTAAGTTAGATGTTAGGTTGGTCGATGACTTAAGTTTAGAGTACAGAATAGTATTCGTGAGGTCTTTAGTTTACAGCTAGTGTGAGCGTTGGCTTTGGTTTAAGGCAGATGTTAATGTGGTCCTTACCTTTGGTTTAGGTTTAGAGGTTATATTGTGTTTAAAACCTGCATTGCATTTACACACATGCACACCATTTATCTGTGTTTATACGCTGTTTACAATGTTTTCAAACTGTTTATATTAAATCGTGTTTACACAGTTCCATAATATCTTCATTACTTTTATGTGGTTACAAACAATACCAAACTGTCTTACCCACTCAAGTAATTAAGTAGTACTCTGCTCCAAGATAAGTCATCATTCATTACTCATCTTTTATACAAGCCGACACTTCATCATTCCATCCCGCCCTCTTCCAACACAAGACAACACTAACCCAGGAAAAAAATAATTGTTAAGGACTTATTCATGAGGCCCTGTGATTTGGAATGTTAACATTGTCCTACATCTATGCCAGTGGAATGTTAACATTGTGCAGCATCTGTGCCGGTACACCCGAGTCGTGTGATGCATCTGGTGAGGTCAAGGACGTCACTCACCCCCTCCACCCCCACCCTTCTCCCACGGCAACTGTAAAAAACCACGAGTGTTGGGTTCCACTGGGGCAATACTCGTGACGTCACCAGCGGACCAGCAGACGTTCAGGATTCACTAGACTGTGTTTGTTGACGTGTAACCGGTCATTCCGTACTTCCAGGCTGGACATATTGTAGTGCTAAGTTAAAATCTGTATTAAAAAACTAAACAGGCTTGGGTTTTAATACGTTTTATGGAACCGGTTTCAGCGTTCCAAAGTACTGCATCGGATTCATGTGCCGTATGTATTCATGAATAAATATCGGTAACTCGGTCAGAGCAAGTGTGTGGAGTGGAAGATGGATTGTGTCCCCTTAGTTGGATGTGCCGAGGGGAAAAAAATGTTTGTGTGTAGATAAATTATAACGCAATTGCCGGTAGGTCACGGGACTACAAAGTGGGCGTGGTTACGGTAAGACAGGACGGCACTTCTGTGGACTAATAATAGATTTCGACTTCACCACGGGTCAGTGGTTTGTCGCTTCCAATGTGTTGTAGATGTAGACCATATCAGACCATATGTTGTACCACCATACTTGGCGCCTCCACCCGTTACATATGTGTACTGTGTAGTTAAACAATGCGAGGATATTTGGTTTTTATAAGCGGGATTCTCACGAATAGTAAAGACATTTAAATATATTATTAGCTACTACATTTGTTATAATGCATATTTGTTTAAACAACAACAAAAAAATCGTCTTTTTAAAGATTACATTTATTAGCCTACTTAAATTGTTGACTCCCCCCTTCCTCCCCCCCCCCCCCCCCCCCCTCCCGCTATTTTATAATTATGGTTTCTGTCAGTGGCTCGCATCTGTTCCCCACTATAAACATTACCCAGTAGCCCCGCTGTCAGACATAGTCTGCTGGGGTGTAACCTCCGGCTGTTGCTTCACTTGTACCCACTGACCTCATTTCAACGTGTAAACACGCGCTTTCTCTACGCTTTCAAACCGTGTTCAAATAAAACAAATAATTTGATTGGGCGACCTACTTCCGATTGGATGAGCGTAAATAAAATAATTAAGAAGGGGGGGGGGCATTATGAAACATTGTTTTAAAAAATACCATATCTCTATATGATAATTGGCTACATTATTAAGGCCAGGGCTTATTACTAAGCCACATTCTTAAGCCACTAATTATAAAAGCGGTTGCCTTGGTTGAATAAGTAATCTGTATCCTATTTAGCAACTGAGTAATCACGTGACTACTGTGTTGTATTCGTGGGCTGTGCTACCCCTTTGCTTGGCCTTGAGTGGGGCACAATACTCTTTCTAATGTTGTCATTACAGCCTATTTTTTATATCAACTAGTAGCACAAATAGCAGCTAGAGAATGTGCTCTAATGTTGTTTTGTTAGTTAATTAATCGTGTCCATTGGGTTTTGGTTGCTATGCACCAATATAACAAACAGATCTCTAACGGTCACATAACTTATGGTGTAATTAATGCGGTGGCCTGTAATACAGTGGGTTGCCTAGAATAGGCGTAGCGCTGTTGTAGTCTGAACACATTTGAGCAGCATCAAGTCCAATCACACGCTATAAAGATGGCAACAAATTAACGTCGAGAGTACACATTTGATAAGATGAAAGTTATTGCCCGATATTTTGGCGTAATGATGCTTATCGTCACGTGCATGGAAATCCTACAGGTGTCATGTGGAACACAGGTGTGTCGGGTCGATCATATACAGGTGTGCTGGGCAGGGTATATATGCCTAGGTGTGTCGTATTGAGGTTTAATATATAGTTGGTTATAGTTAAGAACACAGTAATTTACATGTGTGTGTGTCAGATTTTAATATATTTGTGTTGTAGGCATATATCATAGAGACGTGTTATGTTTATAAAATCGTGTGTGTGTGTGTATTAGTGTGTGTTTAATGTGCATGTTGTCAGCATTGATGCACACGCGTGAACTTCAATCAATGGAGCAGAAGTGGAGGTTCTCACCAACAATCATGTTGTAGCCTGATTGCCAATTCGAATGAATAGGGCTCACGAGTGTCAAGTATTTGAGAACCCCTACATTTAGAAGCGCTGTTATGAACTGGGGGTTATCTCGTCCATGTAACTGTAATAAATGCCAGTAATCATTCTCCACAGATGACTCACGAGGATAATTAGATGAATAGATAATTAGATGAATCAACACCATACCTCGTTTGGTCGCCTCCCCCCCTCCCCAACACACAACTTTGGTCTAATATTGCGCGACACGCACTTTTTAAAGTTGGATACTTCAGTAGTCACTGACTCACCACACACGTGCAGGGGGGGGGGGGGGCGCTTGCCCCCCTTACCCATCGCTTGTAACTATTGACTTCTGTCTTGATGAGCCAAAGTAAACAAGTTGATTGATTTTTATTGATAAAAAATGGAGTGTTAAAAACAATAAAAATCAAACGTATCTTGAAAAAAGCATTTGAAATCATGGTTTAACTTTAACCTTGTCATTTAAAAAAAAAGATTTCAACTGTCATCAGACAATACTCCTATGTGCATAGTCCCAAAACACGACCGCACATGAACCCCGATTGATATTACCAACATTCCCCCCTCTCGTAATAAAACACCTGAAATACTAGTAAGCAAATCCACAAATAGTATGTGCAAACAATATAAGATTTTCACTTGAAAGAAACCCACAATTCGTATGCACATTTAAACGCCTCACCATCCAGTGAAATAACCAACTGTGTGTGTACCCTGACTACACAGATTCCAACTCATGTGCTACTTATCTACTATACACAATGTCTAATCCCTAATGCCTCTATCCCGTCCATGCCTTACAGCCTGTGCAACCCATCTACTATACACATTGTTTCATGCCCTAATGCCCCCTACTATACACATTGTATCATGCCCTAATGCCCTCCACCCCCGTCCATGTCTTACAGCCTGTGACGTCAGATGAGGTAGAGCAAGCCGCTGCCTACTCCAGAATCTCACCCCTCGCCATGAGCATGGTCAAACCCCCCGACCCGGAACTCTTGATGGTAAGGATTTTACAGTACACGTTCTGGTGTTAGGTGACCTAAAGGTGTTTACACGCTACCGTGTCGGGTGACACAAAGAGCTAAACAATAATACATTAATGTGTTATGCTTAAGTTAACTTAGCAGTCCATGACCTAATACTTCACCTGTTCATGATATATTTAACCTGATCATCACCTGTGTACGACCTACTGTTTGACCTATCCACGAAATACTGTTTCATATGTCCATGACCTACTGTTTCATGTGTGCAAGAGTTACCGTTTCAGGTGTTAAGACCTACTATTTCACTAGTCCGTCATGACCTACTGCTTCATTTGTCCGTGATTTACTGTTTACCATGTAATTACCTACTGTTTTACATGTCATGACCTACTTTTTCCCTGTTATGATCTAATATTCCCCTGTTATGACCTACTATTCGCCTGCTATCACCTACTACTCACCTGTCCTGACCTACTGTTCACCTGTCCTGACCTACTGTTCACCTGTCCTGACCTACTACTCACCTGCCATGACCTACTATTCACCCACCATGACCTACTACTCACCTGTCCTGACCTACTACTCACCTGCCATGGCCTACTATTCACCCACCATGACCTATTACTCACCTGTCCTGACCTACTACTCACCTGTCCTGACCTACTACTCACCTGTCCTGACCTACTATTCACCTGCCATGACCTACTACTCACCTGCCCTGACCTACTGTTTCACCTGCCATGACCTACTACTCACCTGCCATGACCTACTGCTCACCTGTCCTGACCTACCATTCACCTGCCCTGACCTACTACTCACCTGCCATGACCTACTACTCACCTGTCCTGACCTACTACTCACCTGACATGACCTACTACTCACCTACCATGACCTACTACTCACCTGCCCTGACCTACTGTTTCACCTGCCATGACCTACTACTCACCTGCCATGACCTACTACTCACCTGCCCTGACCTACTGTTTCACCTGCCATGACCTACTACTCACCTGCCATGACCTACTGCTCACCTGTCCTGACCTACTACTCACCTGACATGACCTACTACTCACCTACCATGACCTACTACTCACCTGTCCTGACCTACTACTCACCTGACATGACCTACTACTCACCTGCCATGACCTACTACTTACCTGCCATGACCTACTACTCACATGCCATAACCTACTATTCACCTACCATGACCTACTACTCACCTGTCGTGACCTTCCATTCACCTGCTATGACCTACTGCTCACCTGTCATGACCTACAACAGGGCCTCCCCCTGAAAGACCAGCGCGCCCTGATGGCCCAACATGCCGAGATGGTCCTGTCTCAGTCGTCCCTCAGGTCCAGGTCAGGCTCCACCACCAGCCTGTCCCAGCCCTCCTCCAGGAGGACCTCCGTCAGCCTGGAGGATGATGACGTCAAGAGGCCGGAGACAGAAGACGAGGATAAGCTGGAAAAGAGAGGTAGGTACCTTCGTCAGTTTCAGGCATTCTGAGGAATCTTTCACTTTTTCACACATTCTGAGGCATCCTTCACTTTTTTACACATTATGAGGCATCTTTCACTTTTTCAGAAACAACTTACCTAGAAAAACAATACGTTTAGCTTATGCTATTTTATATTTTAAAACAATTAAATCTTGGATAAAAGTTCAGAACTTTTAATGGACTTTTCAGTAAAGCAGGTGAAGTAGAGTAGACCTGGGTCTGTGATTTTGGTGTGGCATTTCACTTATTTTTTCAAAGTAACCATCAGAGCATAGTAATACAAATCCAGATCTCTGGGTTAGCATTCAGGCACCCTATCTCTTGACCACTTTGTCCCTATTAAAACTAAAATTACAACACAATTTTAATCAAATGACTATTTTAATAAGCTCTATTATATAATTAAAGTAACTATTGTGGTTAAAATACCTGCAGGAATTCTGAAAGACAAAAGTGCCTCAACCAAAGACCTCCACGAGGTGAAGAGCATCCTAAAGGCCGAGCCCCGGAGCGCCAGGTCGGAGCCCGAGGTCCACAGCATCCTCAAGTCCAGCCACGACGCCAGACACCAGCTGGAGACCACCGTCTCCCTCCCAGAGGTTCGCGGCATCCTGAAGAAAGCCAAGTCTGAGGACATGTCCGGTCTGGACTGTGACGAGGTCAGGAGCATCCTGAAACACACCGACAGTGAGGAGGAGGAAGGGGCGGGGAGGCAGAGGTCAAGGTCGAACTCTCAGCCGTTCGGGATTCTCAAGCGGGAGAATTCTCCGCTGTCCGGCGACCACCCCTTGGAGATTAAGGGAATTCTGAAGACGCCTTCACATGAGAATGTGCCGGAGGTGATGAAGAGTGCAATGAGGCGCGGGAGTGCAGATTCCGACTCCTCCACGGCTGGAGTGCTGAAGAGTGCCTTCAAAAGGAGCACCCACAGCTCGGAGTCTGAGGACGGGCATCACGAGGGAGGGACTTCCGGTTCCGAAATCAAAAGCATCCTGCACAGGCCTTCTCTAGAACAATCCGACTCTCTGGATCTCAATTCCCACAAGCATGTGGATCTGACGATATCCGTGTCCGACTATCCATCCAATCATCCACACGATCACCACCCCAATCCACCCACCTCCAATCTTACAAGCAGCTCCGAGTCATCGGTCACTAAAAGCACTGAGGTCAAGGTTACATCCACGACTTCCGTGACAACAGAGACGACTGAGAAGACCACTCTGCAAGTGCCTGAGGACCTGGATGCCAGGAGTGGAACCAGCGCCTCTGAAGGGGAAGGAGAGAGCAGTGCCGGAGAGCTGCTGGACACCCCGAGGTCAAGGTTGAAGAGGAGGTCACGGGTGGTGGACAAGACGGGTGAAAGGTAGGTTGGTAAATCTTGCTAGAGTTACTTACTTAATCCTCATCACTCCTTGTGGATTATAGGGCAGCAACAAATCTCCGCCATTCCACTCTGTCTTGGGCTAGCCACTTTAGTTCATGCCAGGTCTTGCCAGTAGCCTGCACTTCTTCTTCCATCTCTCTCCTCCATGTTCCCAGTGGTCTTCCCTCTCTTTCGCTTTCCATTGGATATTTGGGAGTGGTCACTTGGTCGAATAAAACTATACTTAACACAACAGTGGCGATAATGACTAAAGAAATGAGTACTTAATTTTCTACAAAGGGACAACTCAACTCCACACTGCATTTTTTAATCCCCACCCCCTAATGATAATCCAAATTAGTATGTCTTTAATTACATGTTGTATTTTAAGACAGATGAAATATGTGCTAATTTACATTTTACAACCACATTTCTCAACCCCTCTAACCACCCTTTGCTTATTTAGTTCATTGTCACTAAATTAAGAATGCCACCACCTTTATGAGTTTGGCGTCATTTATAGACAAGTCTCTATTACCCTACACAATGTCCAGAATAATTAGAGGTTACTGATTCTACGCAGATCTATATAGTTTCACCTTCATTGATATTGATTTCAGACAACACTTACATTACAATGACAAATCGACACGTCCCACCCACGCGTTCAATGTTGGTTTAAATTTCAACAGTGAACACACGGTTGTGTGGGTATTTTTTTTTATCTAACCAGGACTTGCCATTTGTCTTCATAAAACTGACGTGTACCTGTTTGTTTTGTGAATGGGGTGCCTGGGTAGGGGGGGGAGGGTAAGGGAGTATAACAATAGGACGGTAGCAAGCAGTACCGATCTATATCATACTGTACCCCCCCTGTATTGTGCCAAGTAATGCTCCCCCCACCTCCCTTCCCCCCACACACAAACACCTATCTTTGCTATAGGACCTGATCGAGTTCCCATTGAGCCGGCTACCTGTAGCAGACCCAGGTTGTAAATGTACGTCTTGAGCCCGTCGTTTACTCCTTGTCTAAACACACGGGTCTGTTGGGTGACGGGTATCACGTGGTTTTGTTGATAGACGGGCTAATTGTTTGTGGGACATGGCGGGTGTTGATACACAATTGGAGAACACAACAATTATGTGTGACAAATTCAAAGCGCCTACAGTGTTGTGTACAGAGCCGGCGTTAGGAATACGCGGGGCCTAGGGCCAACCATCCGCGCGGGGCCTTTCCATTATATATATATATATATATATATATATATATATATATATATATATATATATATATATATATATATATATATATATATATATATATATATATATATATATATATATATATATATATATATATATGTATAAAGGCCTATATAATGTGATGCAGGAGCGTAGCGAGGGGGGGGGGGGGGCGGGGGGTGCGGACCGCACCGGGTGACACCATTTAGGGGGGTGACACCAAGGCAAAAAATAGCAACCTATATAGAGAAAAACTTGAGGGGGGGTGCAAATCGAAAGTTTGAGGGGGGGGGGGGGTGCAAATCGAAAACTTGGAAGTTTGTCCCCGGGAAGGGTCGCAACGCCTCTGGGGGGGGGGGGTGACACCCGTCCTGGCTACGCCACTGATGTGATGTACACATAATAACACAAATGTTTTGGAGTTTATAAGCTAATGTCAAACTTTCCACTATAATAACAGATTTTTATCTCTCCCATGTATTAACCCAATGTTCGTAGTTTTTTTTCCTTTGCTAAGATATTAAATCACTTTTAACAGTTATGTAATTCATACCAAATCACTTAAGAAAATTTAATCACGTGCCGAATAATTAGGAAAATAAAGTTTACAATACAGCGAATTCGGCCTGATATATCAAAACAGTATAGACTTCAAAATTTGTTTAGAATTCATACAATATTTTAAAACCAAAATCATTATTGTCTTAATTATTGAACGGTTGAATCCTTAAGGTGACACAACATAACAACAGTTTTAACTTTCTTCCAAAAAATAATAATAAATCACTCTGTTTAATGCCGCCTGATATAGATCCTAAGGGCCCCCCCACCTCCTCGTCGCCCTCCTCCCACCCCTCCGCACGCAACTGAATGTTAATTTTGTTATACCAAGACAAGTAGGCCTACATATAGAGTTTCTTCCAGGCATCTCTTCAAGTGCCCCTCCCCCCCCTCCCCCCCCCCCCCCCGGAGAAAAAAGTCTGGAAGAAACACTGTACATATACGACATTATACGACATCTACAACAAGAAAGTCAGGACTAGAGTTCATCAGGTCACTAACTGTCTACTATAGACATCCCGTCTGCTCACTAAAAGGACGTCTTCATCGGTCCGCATACAATAGGGTATCTCTTTACGTCGTGGGCTAATTTTCGACCGCCATCTCCAGTCAGCTCAGGTCAAATGCCAGGCGACCGTACCCTACACAAAGGGGAGGTGTGACACTATTTTTGTATCGAATTACGGCCTGTCCCAGTTCAGGTGGGACTCACCAACATCGACCGTGGCCTTAGTTATAACAATCAACAACGTCGGCATTCGACCATTTAGTTTTTCCCAATTGAATTCAGCAACAATTTTTTTTTAAGTTTACGAACTAATTCAGATAACAATGACAGTGCTGAAGCGCGGGGCCCCTTCAAGCGCGGGGCCTATGGCGACCGCCCCGTTCGCCACCCCCTAACGCCGGCTCTGGTTGTGTATGTCAGTTCTGTCGTTATCTACATCTGTCTGTGTTGTCACCTATGTCTGTCAGTGCTGTCCCCTAAGTCTGTCAGTGCTGTCCCCTATGTCTGTGATTGCTGTCACCTATTGCTGTCAGTGCTGTCCCCTATATATGTCAGTAACGTCACTTTATCGGTCAGTACTGTCCCGTGTCTAACACTACCGCCACTATATGACTTATGCGTCAGTAGAGCTACCGTCCCATTGAAATAGGTTTTCAAAACGCTCTACCCCTAATTAAAAACAAATCGAATAATGATTAGCTTATATTAAGCTTCCTGCTTCAACTCGCTAAACCCAACCCTCTTTCAAGTTTGTGTTAAATACTCCTTGATGTAATACTTTAATTAAAATTTTAGTCACATTCAACCTGAAATTTAAAAAAAAATTTATCTCCCCTTATCTTACACTGGTTGTCTCCCTGTCAGGAAATTGATCAATCTGCATTTAATCCCCCCCCCCCCCCCCTCCCCCCAATCTGCCTGGTCCACCACAAATCCAAAATGTAACGCTGTACTACCAGTAGTCGTTTTCACATAATGCGGCTGGTAGAAATGGTTGTTAGAATATATGAAATTGGGTTTTAATGTGTTTACAAACTAGACAGAATAAAAACCGGGTTAAAGTAAACTGAACATTCAGACGTGAACTGTTGACTTACTAGATGTAATCTTTGCACATGTAATGTTGGCTTACACAGGTAGTAGACACATACAACAGCATAAACATATACGCAAACTCAAAACCACACAGACGCACACAAAAACACATGCGAACATACACATACATGAACATACACACTTAAACCGATTTACACAAAAAAAAAACATACTTACACCCACATGTGTGCACACAAAAACAAGCGCATACGCACACATACGTGTATGTACACACATAAGGACATAAATAATACATACTTAAAAGGACAATCACATACACACATACACCAGCACACTGATTACATTCAAATAAAAATACATATACATACAATTCCATTGACATACACCTAGATAAGCGTTAAGTAAACACACACTTACAAGTACATACACACATATAAGCTTATAACCGTACACATACACACAACCAGAAGCATACAAACACACCTAAAAATACGACATGTCTACAAACACGACATGCTTAAACCGACATGACATGCCTAATGTATAAATACCGCAGGATGGTGATGTGTAAACACTGAGGGGATGATGTAGGGGGAGGGGAGAGAACTGAGTTACATAACGAGCACACTAAGCTACAGGTGGGCCGCTGTTACACAAGTGCCGTAACTCTCGCGTATTGACTAAGCATAAACTTATTATACACTGTGTTAGAAAGCATTGCGTGGTGGGAGAGGGGGGGGGGGGGGGGGAGTGCTAACACATGCAGAAATCTTGGCGTTTGTCGCTTCTTCAGTATTTACTCATTTCTTTGCTTTTAATCACAGACATCTGTTACAATTTAAAATCTTATTAGACGGACTGCCATCCTCCATACCATTATGTAATTGTTAAATAGGGACTGACCCATTCAACCTGTATCATTCTGACCTTCATTTATACCGACTGCCATCCCCCCTGCCCATACCATTATGTAATTGTTAAATAGGGACTGACCCATTCAACTATTATCATAATGACCTTCAATTATATACTGCATACATAATTTGACCCCGGTAGGTTGACCGGAGTTGACCCCCCCCCCCCTCCCCTCCATCATTAAGTAATTTAATGCCGTTGTTAAGACCACTTGTACTGTTGTCTACTGGAGCTACCTGGCTCATAGTGATTATGTGCCTGGTACAGCCATTGATTTGTTGGCCGCACTAAAACACATTGACTGGCTGTCACCGACAATAAAACGTTGACACTTGTCTATTAGACGTACTCTCCGATCAGCTGTTTGCTCCAAGCTATCGATACTCTAATCTCACCCCCCCCCTCTTCTCAAACCTAACGCTAGCTACAAGCCTAAACTGAAATTTGTTTATCGGCGATACCCCTACACCCTACACAAATGTGTGGGTACGGACCAACTATACAAATGTGTGGGTACGTGATCCACTACACAAATGTGTGGGTACGTAACACTACACAAATGTGTGGGTACGGACCTACTACACAAATGTGTGGGTACGTGATCCACTACACAAATGTGTGGGTACGTGATCCACTACACAAATGTGTGGGTACGGACCAACTACACAAATGTGTGGGTACGTGATCCACTACACAAATGTGTGGGTACGGACCTACT